TGCTTATAGATTCTAGATATATGCATTAATATATGGTATTTGTTTTTCTCTTTCTGACTTACTTCCACTCTGTATGATAGACTCTAGGTTCACCACATCACTATGAAAGACCCAATTTCATTCCTTTTTATGGCTGAGTAATATTTCATTGTATATATGTACTACAACTTCTTTATCCATTTATCTCTCAATGGACATTTAGGTTTTTTTCATGTCCTGGCTATTGTAAATAATGCTGCAGTGAACAGTGGGGTACATTTGTATGGAAACACAAAAGACCATGAATATCCAAAGCAAACATGAGTGAAAGCAAGCTTTCATTCTTAAAAGCTTGTCCCTAAACTGGTACTATCATTAGTTAAATTAGGAAGTATTTTTGGTTCCTAGATCCCACTACAAGGTGTGCTGTCTAATATTACAGATAAATAAAAGTAATTATGTTGATCTTTACTTAATTCCATGTCTAAGTTTTAAAAATAAAACAAAAAGTCTAAAAAATTAATCAGCTTGCCAAAGAAATTAAGAAAAACTATGATCATATACAAAGAGATATGATCTAAAGTAAAAATCGAAACACCAAAACATGATAATCATCCTCTACACTTCTCTCTTTCTCATCTCCAGCACTGAACTGGCCATAAATCTTTCAATTTTACCTCATTATTTCCTGCATCTTTTAACATTTCATTTACAAAACCACAACAACCATCTTCAGAGTTTCTCCTTTGAACCATTGCTACTCCTTTTCTTCAGCATATTCTCTTCCTGCAATGCATTCATCACTTTTTAAAATAAAAGGGACTTTGAAAATTCAAAATTGATTATCTTACTCCTCAAATTGAAACCCCTTCAATGAATCTCTCCTTTCTGCAAAATAAACTTGTCTGTCATCTCCTGAATCTAATCTTCCATAACAACTCCAGTCATGCGGGTTCATCTCATTATTAGAAAAGCATAATATCTACTGAGGGTTTGTTTTGTACCTGGTCCTATGAGAAACACTTTGTATGGTGGATCTTATTGAACTCTGACACAATCTTTCAAATAACATGTTATTATTATCACATATTACAGGTGAGGAAACTGGGTTCTTAGGGAAACTTAGAAATCACCTAATGTCACAAGGCCATCAATGGCAGTGCCAAGACAGGAACCTAAGTCTGATTCCAGCATAAATTATCTTATGTCCACCTACATTCTAGAAAGGGCTTCCCTCATGGTTCAAGCAATAAAGAATCTGCCTGCAATGCCGGAGACATAGGTTCAATTCCTGGGTCAGGAAGATCCCCTGGAGAAGGGCAAGGCAACCCATTTCAGTACTACTGCCTGGGATTGGAGCTTGGAAGGCTACATACATGGGATTGCAAAGAGTCAGACCCAATAAATGACTAACATTTTCACATCCTAGGAGGTCCTTTAAAAGTGCCAAGCTATTTCCAGAGCTAAACTTTAATTCTTACCTGGAAAAAAAGCAACTATATTTGTCCTTTGGTGAAGTATTCCCTTACTCTACCACAAGTAACCCCTAAGAGTTTTGATCACTACCTTCTCTGTGTCATCATCTACATTACATATGATATACGTTAGCCATTGTGAAAGTAACTTTGGGAAGTTGATGAAAGTACACATGATTTGCTGAATATCATAAAGACTGACTTATCTATTGGGGTGGAGTCTCATTATCTGGATTTTCAATAAGGCTTTGAGATAACTATAGTGTACAATCATTAGAAAAGCATCAACTTACATAAACTATACTTACAGTCTTTACACTGTAATTTTGCAGTTATTGCTGTTTGTATGTCCTTGTTTTCAGTTACTCTGAAGCTTTGTTTTTTTTAGGACTGGATCTGATACAAATATGTAGTACTTACATTTAGAAAGTATACCTAATATCTAGTAGCTGTTCAATAAAAATTTGATAAATAAACAAGTGAGTTTGTTCTCACATTTGGGAGGCAATAAGGAGATGAGGAGAAGAAATGAATTGCTGCCTTTTTACAGTAGCTAACAGGAAAATAATGATATGAAATGATCAAAGTGGGCCTTTAGAAATATCAATGAGACTAAGGCATTAGAATGATAAATTGAGCAGAAGATACATCAGATTTGTATGATCATAATCATAATAACACATTTCAAAGTTAAAATGACACAGTCCAAAGTTAAAGGAGGAAAATTGAACTATATGACAAAAATCAGCCTCTTGTCAGCATTTCCCTTTTAAGTAAATACAAAATAAGGCCTATCTGTCTAATATGTTGTGCCATCAGATAATCAAGATTGTTTTTTTTTTTTCCCTGAAAAACCTCATGAGTGAGTAGGAAAATCAGACAGAGAAAATACTCACTTGCTAGAAGGAATCTCAGCCAAATTTCCTTTTCCCAAGATAGAACACCTGCCATGTTTCCTGAAACCTTTACAACTTGAAATATTCCTTTAGGAATTCAGAAAGAGCCTACTTTCATGGTTAAAAAGAAAGAAAACACAAAATCTGTCCTTTTTATAGCAAATGTTAATGTCTTTTGCATCTGTTGTTGGTATTCATAGTGTGATTATGAGACTGTTATTTCCCCAATGTGATTACTTCCTTATGTTACCCTGTGGGCAGAAGTTTTATTTCAGGGATTTTCAGAAATGAAATACCAAAGATGTGCAGCAAAATGGGTATCTTCTCAATTCAGAAAAGTTAATAGACCTACCTTCTTTGTAATGCACACACACACACACACAAGCTCGCGCGCGCACACACACACACACACACATTATTTTTTCCAATACCCTACTGGTTAAATATTCCGCTTTTTCTAAATATTGAAACTAATTTATAAAAAATTTTCTTAAAGGTCTTGTTTCTATTCATTTAAAATATACAGTTTTCTTTTACAGAAGTTACTATGTTCTTATATATCAACCAGTGATTTTGGAGGCTTCTGCGTACATAAGGATGTTCTTTAAAATGTTTATGTTTAGTTAATATGGTCTGCCCCCACAAGTGGACAGATTCTTACATTACCACAAACGAAATATTCCCCCACTAAAGAGATATTTAACTTACATGCAGAGTACATCATGAGAAATGCTGGGTTGCAGAAAGCACAAACTGGAAACAAGATTTCTGGGAGAAATATCAATAACTTCAGATATGCAGACGACACCATCCTTATGGCAGAAAGTCAAGAACAACTAAAGAGCCTCTTGATGAAAATGAAAGAGAAGAGTGAAAAAGTTGGCTTAAAGCTCAACATTCAGAAAATTAAGATCATGGCATCTGATCCCATCACTTCATGGCAAATAGATGGGGAAACAATGGAAACAGTGACAGACTTTATGTTCTTGGGCTCCAAAATCACTGCAGATGGTGATTGAAGCCATGAAATTAAAAGACACTTACGCCTTGGAAGGAAAGTTATGACCAACCTAGACAGCATATTAAAAAACAGAGACATTACTTTGCCAACAAAGGTCTGTCTAGTCAAACTTACGATTTTTCCAGCAGTCATGTATGGATCTGAGAGTAGGACTATAAAGAAAGGTGAATGCCAAAGAATTGATGCTTTCGAACTGTGGTATTGAAGAAGACTCTTGAGCATCCCTTTGACAGCAAGGAGATCCAATCAGTCCATCCAAAAGGAAATCAGTCCTGAATATTCCTTGGAAAGACTGATGCTGAAGTTGAAACTCTAATACTCTGGCCACCAGATGGGAAGAACTGACTCATTTGTAAAGACTCTAATGCTGGGAAAGATTGAATGTGGGAGGAGAAGGGGATGACAGAGGATGAGATGGCTGGATGGCATCACCAACTCAACGGACATGAATATGAGTAAACTCTGGGAGTTGGTGATGGACAGGGAGGCCTGGCTGGCGTGCTGCAGTCCATGGGGTCACAAAGAGTTGGACATGACTGAGCGACTGAACTGAACTGAACTGAATATGGAGAACTAGTATTTCCAAAGTGCCCATAAGGCCCAAAGCCATCTGTAGAATCAATATAATCCTTACCAAAATTCCAATGGGATTTTTTTTCAAAAAAAAAAAAAAAGGCTTAAAATTCATGAGAGTGAAAGCATTAGTCATGTCCAACACTTTGTGACCTCAGGGTTTTCTGCCTCTGGAATTCTCCAGGCAAGTATCCTGGAGTGGTAACCATTCCCTTTGCAAGGGGATCTTCCTGATATAAGGATTGAACTCTGGTCTCCACATCGTAGCCAGATTCTTTATAGTCAAAGCCACCAGGGAAGCTCCATATGGGACCACAAAAGTCTCCAAACATCCAAAGTAATCCCAAGAAGGAACAAAACTAGAAATATCATTCTCTCTGATTTCAAATTGCACTGCAAAGATATTGTAACTTAAATAGTATGGTACTGCATAAAAATGCACACATAGACCAATGTAATTGAATTGAGAGCCCAGAAATAAAACCTTGCATATACAGAGCAAGACAAGAATATTCAAGATGGAAAGGTGAGTCTCTTTAATAAGAAAAATTTGAAATAAGCCAGACACAGAAGGACAAATGCTACATGATACCACTTATACAGAGTATCTAGAATAGTCAACCTCATTAGACATGAAAATAAAATAGTGGTTTCTAATGGCTGAGAAGAGGGAGAAATGAGGAGCTGTTGGTCAACTGGTTTCATTTAAGCAAGGTGAGTCAAGTTCTAGAAATCTGCTGTACAACATAGCACCTATATTTAACACTACTGCATTGTGCATTTAAGATTTTTGTAAAGAAGGCAAATCTTATGTTAAGTGCATCTACAATTTACAATTTAAAAAAATTTATAATTTACCTGTAAATTCTGATGAAAATCATCAGAACTTTACACATATAATTTTGTAGTTGAATTGAATAAACACTTCAGAATCTTAAAGTAAGACAAACTTCTATTTTGACAAAGTCCATTAAATTTCTATATTCAGAAAAGTAATATTCAAAATTAATATGTTTTTTCTTAATTTTCTTGAACAGCACATAATATTTTATTTACCTGTGTATTCAAGGTGAAATCCTGCAGCAGAAACACTGATGTCTGATTGAAAATTTAGATATAGATTATTAGATGTACTATTCAAAAGATGGGGTATTGTTGTTCCTGAAATGATAATTGAAAACGTGGTTCAGTGATCATATAATAAGTAATATAATAAAATTAAGTTAATTATTAATCAGCCAACAAGTTATCATGAAATTATATATTATTAAAATGTTTTATAGGAATTTTTAAATAAAAATATTTCTCACATATTTGTCTTTCATATTACTGTTCTTGACTATCGCCAAGGAGACAGACCTTTGAGAGCACATTAGACAGCTCCCTAAAATAGGTAACAGCAAACAAAGCTGATGAAAAGCAGAAAATTTTACTAGTCACCTAAAATAAATATTTTGAATTTCATGTGGATTTCAGTAATTCACGTACAAGATAATAAATTTAGTTTTAAAATTTGCATGTGTTTTTATGAAACAATAATAAGATTTAATATGTGTTTAAAGAAATATTTATCACCTTTTATTGTGATATTTAAATATATACACTTTCTTCTATTATCAGGTGAAGTATCTTGATGTTTCTTACACCAACAGCAAAGCTGGTTGTTAGCATTAAAAAAATGCCAATTATGAACTAGTGCTAGCCTTGTCTCTTAGCAAATGCTTTATAATCTTGTTCCCTGAACTTCTATAGGAAATCAACTTTAATTTATTCAATTATTGAATTGAAAATATCTGCTTGAACCAATTACTTTTTGACTATCTGACATTAATAATTTAAGATCCTTAAGATTACAACTCAAGCAATTTCAAATGACAAGCATAAAAATAACTGTCAACTGTGTCTCAAGATAAAATCCAACAAGCATATAAGTTGACAGTGCTGCCAACATTTTTCTGGTAATTTTCTAGTAACTTCATACTTACTTTCCACAACACTATGTACCTTAACCACTGAGTCTTCTATAAGAGAAACTAGGACAAATTCATTACAAAACACACAATTGTTTCCCCCCACCCAGCTGAACTTTCTGCCTTATACTGTCCTAACTGAATCAGTGAAGACAGAGCTAAACAGAAACTCAAAGGTCACTCTGACTGTCTTTGATATCTTAGAAGATCTTAGTGACTGAGAGTTTTGACTGTGGAGTCACACCAGCTGGGTCCCAGTCTCATTCTAACGTTAGATGTACAACCTTGGGCAACTTAATTTCTTTTAGTGTCAATCACCTACCAGGGCTGCTGGAAAGATCAAATGAGGAAATGTATGACAAGCTTCACACAGAGCTAGCACTTGGCAATCAAACGCTGTTATTATTTATCACTTTTTATCATTTAGTTACTGTACTTATCATTCAGAAAGTATTATACTGTCTATTACAGACAAATGCATACATACAAAAATTCTTACAATTTATTCAAGAAAAATTTCTTTCTAAATCTATTTCCAGAATATTTGTAATGCCTAAACCAAATTACTCTTACTCTAGATATTTCTTCTTTGCTTTCTTCAATGGTGTTGCTGAAAAGTAGATTAACATGCTCCATTTTAAAATCTATTAAAAACTTAATGACATTCAAAATTCTATATCTGAAACATGTAAGTTCATAGTTTAGCTATGTTTACATTTCTAGAGTTAAACACTATAACCAAAATTAAAGTAAAATATACAGTTAAATTTAAAATGAAACTTCATTTCACCCTAAATATGTTGTAAGAAGCTGTCAGATTAATGCACAAACTCCTTCTCAAACCATAACAAATTATAAAATTTCCTGGTCTTGATACATATGTATATAGTATGAATCTTATATAATTTAATTCATTTCATAGAATTAATTACTTATTCTCTTTATTCTCATACAACAGTACCTTGGAGCACTTACATGTTGTTACATAATCTCTATAATTGTTTTAATGGCTGCATAACATTCTATCAAGTGACTATATTATAATTTTCAAGCATTGTCTAACTTTTAACTATTACTTCTCATCCTTTTTTTTTTTAAGGGAGAGGAGCATATATACTATTCTTGAGCCAAGGCTCAGCTAAAAATATTACTATTAACACAAAAAGCATCAATAAATAATTACACAAATACAGTAACAATGTATAGTAAGGTTTTAAATAGCAATTTCAATTTCATTGCCTTTAAAGCCTTTCAAACTTCTACCTTGTAGTTTAGTTCTTTGCATATAGTTTGTAAAAAGCAAAATTAAAACCACCAAGTCAGAGATCTAGGGAGTGTTTTAGAGAGAGAGGGAGAGAGATTTTACATTCCTAATTATAATGTATTTTAATTAAACTTAGTTCTCTTATTTACCTGAATAACTTCCAAGTCTTGGGGCATTGTTGTCTCCCCCATCATAAAAGTCCAGAGAATCCCAATTATGTTCTGTAGCAAAGCTGACAACTTGCACCTATGAAATAATAATTATCTGTAAGAACACATACTTCTAATGTGATGCATATACTATAGTCCACTCGACTCTTCTGGAAGAGAGAGCTCAAAGCCTGGACCATTTGATTGTGGCTCTCCATGGAAGGATTTTAACAGAAATGATCATTGCCTTTATGGCACTGGCATACACACTGACTTTTATAATAAAAGCCTCTGAGGCATCTAGCAGTGTTCACTATTGGTTATAGCATTGAGAATGTCCGTCACCACCTTATTGCGTTAATCCAATGTCTTAGTGCCTAGAATTTGAATTAAGCCATGTTCCAAACAATTGATTAATTTTTGTTTTGTTTTGTTTTAGAGTGTTTGATTCTTGTGTCCTGAATTTTCTCATCTGCTTCACCTATTAGGATATAAGCAGATTTCTGGTCCACACAGACCACCATATAAGACTCTATAATATATATGATTTTTGAACTAGGTTTATCCTGATACATTTTATTATGTTTTACTTTGCATAACCTTTGTTAAATTTCCTGTTTTTATTGTATCTTTACAAATTAATATAATAATCCCCTATGTACATTTTTGATATATTTAAATATGAATAACCAAAAATAATACTTTATAACTGATTTGGATATGTCTTTTAAAGATTAGTTTTATAAATGACTATATTTTTATAAACAGCATAATAATAACTAAATCATTGTGAGGATTCACAAAGTTGATAATGGAAATGCTGAGTATAATTATCTCATGTCTATTAAATTTTATTTAAAGAAAGAGGCATGTGTTACTTTGTTGCACTTCACTTGGCACAGCTTGAATTTTTGCAAGAACCCACAGAACCCTCACAACTATGGATGTTATCTATTTTTCTTTGTCTATTACATATTTTATAGTTTAGGAGGAGGTAAAGGAATAGTCTTATTCAAATAAATTTATTTTTATTTAGCTAAGGTCTGTAATAAATGTAAACATTTCACTCATCTGCTAAATACTTCCAACCATTGCATTCATTAAAAATTTTCTTGTCCACAAAATAGGCCATCACCATTCTTCCATTCAAATAAATGCTTATGCCTCTTTTCCAGAGGTGAGCGCCACATGGCAACAGATACCCTGCCTGTGTGACAGGCATTAGGCCGAAAGGCAATGTTCCAGGACAGGAAGAAGACTGGAATTAAAACTGTATGATTGCAATATAATCACCAGCTCCTTAAAAAACTGTCAATTCTCTGTTCATATCCTGACTTTTCCTTCTTTTCAAGTCAAGGAAAGAAAAAGTCACATTTGGCTTTAAAAAACAAGGAAAAGAAAACAGAAGTAAGGATTTTTGTAGGAGTTGATATTTGACATAAGCAAAATGGATTGTGAGGTTCTGTACTGAAAGAAGTTATTGAGTCAGTAAAAATGTAGAAGAGACAAGCCATGGGGTAGATTTAGTGAACCATCAGTAATCAAATTTAGCCACAGTGAAGGGCATTTACATAGAAGAAAATATGTAAAAAGTTAGAAGAAGTAGAAGAAAGAAAGAAAAAATATTAATGGATAAATACAAGAAATATTAGAACTCTGGGGTTTGAAACTTCCTGGTTCCCTCTACTCCATAATATGTAAATCTAAAAGAATTGTTAATCTCTCTGTGCCATAGATCTCTTACATTAATCACTGTAATAAAGCACCTTTTTATAGATTTGTTGTAAAATTTAAAGTAATTTTACCTTAGAATAGTGCCTAGTATGAACTGAGGATTTAATGTATCTTAGCTAAGGGAGAGAAAGAGAGAGAGAAGGGCTATATAGACTGAATACCAGCATAATAATTATGCAATTGAGGAGTATTTCATTGAAGGTTTTAGAAGGTGAATTGAAGGAGTCTAATCAGGACTATGGTTTAAGTACAGAACTACTGCAATTAATAAAGAAAAAAAAATGAAAAGACAATTTTAATGTTGATTCCAGTGACCCACATGAGAAGCAAAGAAGATTAATAAAGTAGGCTAGTAGGCAGGAATGGTAGAAAGGGGGACCTAGATGTCACATGCGTTGCTATAGTAGAAATTACGGCTTTCTGTGTGATATGAATAGGAGAGGGAAGTGACAGAAAATATTTTAAAATATTTTCCCCTGAGTTTTTGAGATCAGAGGGATGGCAAAACAGAAATGTAGATATCTCCAGGAAAACTTATTACCTTTGTAAGAGGAAGGAAATCTGTTTAATTCTGGACATTTATATGTGAATATGACTCCCCGATCCCTTGAGCCTATAAATATTGCCTCGTATGGGAAAGAATCTTTCAAATGTGAATAAACTAAATATCTTGAGATAGGGAGACTATCCTAGATGATTTAAATGAGCCTTAAAGGCAATCACAGATGATCTTATAAGATGTCAAGGAAGATCTGACACAGACAGAAGAGAATGCAATGTGATCACAGAAGCAGAAATTGAAGGGATGTAGTCAGAGGAGAAGTGTACGACAGAGGATGAGATGGTTGCATGGCATCACTGACTCAACGGACATGAGTTTGACCAAATTCAGGGAGACAGTGAAGGACACGGGAAGCCTGGCGTGCTGCAGTCCATGGGGTTGCAAAGAGTCACACGTGACTTAGTGACTGAACAAGTCAGAAGCCAAGGAATGATGGCAGCTATCAGGAACTGGAAGAGGCAAGGAAAGCAATCTTCCCTGGAGCCTGAGCAGAGGGGAGGTGGAGGGCGGCAGGAGTGCAGTCCTGTCAGCACTGCTGTTTCAGTGCAGTAAGACTGATTTGGGACTTTCAGCTTCCAGTACCGGGAAAGAATACATTTCAGTTGTTTTAAACTTTTGAGTTCATGCTTTGTTACAGAAGTCACAGAAAACTAATGCAATTTGCCAGTAGGATTCTGGGCAAGTTGTGAATGCTGTCTGGCATACATAGAGGTGTAGGAGAATTAAGTAAATGGTTGAAGATTCATTATAACAGAAAGTCAAATGAGACTCAAGTAAAACCCTTAAAAAGGAGAAGATACAGACTCAGTGTTCAGAAGAACAATTAGATGGAGTTGTTCATTATGACAACAGGACAGCTTTATGAGGTAATGAATTTTCAGTAACTAAAACCAGATATCCCTTATGCTGCTGCTGCTGCTGCTAAGTCGCTTCAGTCGTGTCTGACTCTGTGCGACCCCATAGACGGCAGCTCACCAGGCTCCCCCGTCCCTGGGATTCTCCAGGCAAGAACACTGGAGTGGGTTGCCATTTCCTTCTCCAATGCATGAAAGTGAAAAGTGAAAGTGAAGTCGCTCAGTCGTGTCCGACTCTTCGCGACCCCATGGACTGCAGCCTACCAGGCTCCTCCATCCATGGGATTCTCCAGGCAAGAGTACTGGAGTGGGATGCCATTGTCTTCTCCAGATATCCATTATAGAGACATCCCTTATACAGACATCCAAATCCCATTTTACTTTAAAGATTGCTCTTTGCTTGATAATTCTGTTACTATTAATTGTAGCTCCTTTGAAATTCTCCCTCCAATATACCTTGCTAAAACATACAGGAAAAAAAAAAATGAATATACTTCTCCCACTCATGTAATAGAAACATAATAAGTTAGTTTATTTGTTGAGGGTATTTCCCAAAAATTCTCAATCATTCTATTTGTAACTTTTTCAGCATTCCAAATGTTTCTTCTCTCTACTAGTGGTTATCCCATCTTATATGATTTATCAAATATTCATATAAATCTTTATTTGCACATATGTTTAGCACAAAAGAATAAAAGATAATAAACATTACTTCAAATCTGGTGTACTAGCCGGGTTGCTTTTAGGTGAATTTAGTGAAATTTCAAATATGTCCTACATTATGGGTGTGTGTGTTATAATTTTCTATGATTTAGTGATATCTAAAACTATGCTCAGTCGCTCAGTCATGTGTGACTTTGCGACCCCATGGACTGTAGCCCACCAGGCTCCTTTGTCCATTGGATTTTCCAGGCAAGAATACTGGAGCAGGTTGCCATTTCCTTCTCAAGGGACATATAAAATTAGCAAACATATAAGAGGTTAATTAGGAAAAAGCACTTTGTAGTTATACACAGTATTTACATTAAAATATGCTTCACAGTCTGTAACATTGATCAGTGATAGAGAACATAACATTATCTTTAGATGTCATGTTAGTCCATTATTCTATGTTAACTCCTTAAAGTCACCTAAAACTTCACTGCTTTTGGAAATATTCATTGGTTTATTTGAAAAATAATTACTGAGCACAGACCGCTAGGCTCTGTGCTAGCTGTCAGAAAAGATTTAGTTACTTACCCCATGAACTTACAGGTAATTAAGTAAAAACAAATGGCAACCCACTCCAGTATTCTTGCCTGGACAATCCTAAGGACAGAGAAGCCTGGTGTGCTACAGTCCACGGGGTCATAAAAAGTCAGACAGGACTGGGCACCTGAGCACACAAATCAAAGCAGTAACATGTGACGGGTATTATGATATAAGGATCATATCCTTGATATGATATAAGGATCAATGAGAACATATAGAAAGAGGGCTTAACATTGCTTCAAGTTCATGGATGGTCTTCCATATGAACTGTTTTTAAGGTGGGACAGAAATAATGAGGAAGAATAAAACAAATAAAGGAGATGATGGAGAGTGTTGGCAGTAGAAAGAACAACATTCACAAAGGCCCAGAGGCAAGAGAGAGTCAAGTTTCAATAAAGAAGTGAAATAGAGGCAAGATATGAGGATAAAGCACAAAGGCGTAATCAGCTGTGTCATGGAGTTCAGGATAGAAAGGATGATTGAGGTATTGTAAAGCAGGAAACTCAGAGCATTAGATTATTATTTTTAGAAAGTTACTCTCTTTGCCCTGTGAGGAATAGACTGGAGGAGAATAAGAACCTGGAACATGGATGATGGCCACCTAATCTTGAGTGGTAAGAGTGTGGATGGAGAAAATAGACTTTGAGAGGTTTGTGAAAGACAGAACTGATATAGTCCGTTGTGCACTTGGGCACAGAAAAAAATCATCAAGATTTTTGTCTTGTGCAACTGAATGGATGAAGGGTTCATTCTGAGAGAGCAAAATGGGGAAGATTCACAACTTTGAGAAAAAAGCCATGAAGTCAGTTTTGAACAGGTTGAATTAAAGGTGTAAGAAGTTTAGGGGCTTCCCTGGTGGTCCAGGGATTAAGAATCTGCCATGCAATGTGGGGACACCAGGTCGATCCCACATGCTGCAGGGCAACTAAGCTCACACAGTACAACTGAATCCCATGCACCCTAGAGTCCATGCTCCACAAGAGAAACCACTCCAATGAGAAGCCTACGTACTAAAACTAGAGAGTAGCTCCCACTCGTTGCAACTAGAGAAAGCCTGTGCACAACAATGACAACTCAGCACAGCCAAAATGAATAAGTATACACACACACACAGACACACATATATATATAAAAGAACGATGTAAAAAGTAGCTGAAAATGTCCAGTGGGCAGTTGGATAAAGGGCAAGCTTAGGTGAAAGGTATGGGTTAAATATTAGGTTTGGAAATCATCATCTATTCAATCCTTAATTTAAAAGGATGTTTTCTAATTATCTACTATGATTCAGCATCAGCACATAATGGTAGCTGAAGCTATGAAAGTAGACAAGGTGGCACAGAGAATGGTGCATGGGAGATGGACAAAGATCACAGAATCTCACAAACACCATATCTGATGAATTGAAGAAGAGGAGATCATGTTCTGAGATGTAGAAGCAACAACTATAAATGTAGAGAAGAAAACAAAACAAAATTCAAGAGAGTATTAGGTGGAATGGAGGGGAAAGATATCTTCAGAGTGACGGGAGAATGGACAGGACAGACTGTTGCTAACAAAATGAGGAAGATGAGCAATGCAATGGATTTAGTGGCATGTTCCTCAGTGATCATTGTAAGAGTGACTCAAATAGAGCATTGGACGCTGAAGCAACATCACAGGGGACTGGGAACATAGGGTGAGAACTAGAGGGAAAATGCCAGGGGTTTTATTATTTTAAGATGAGATGAAAATGGACAAGCTGATGCCAATATATAGATGCTCTAACATAATTCTCATAAATATATAACCAGATGATACAGTAAATGTTCCATGAAGATTTTAAAGGTATCAGCTCATTTCAGATTGCCTATGCAATCTGGAACATGTACGATCCTCAAATCTTTGCTAATTCTACCAATAACAGGATAGAGTGGATTGGTTATCTTCAAATTTTAAAAGTTGACCATAAAATAATAGCACAACTAGCCAGAATATAAGCAGCATTTTGACTGCAAATATTTTAAAAACACTGAAAATGTACATTTCAAATTTTCTCATTGATTTACTGACCTATTTAACACCTTACATCTATTAAGTATTTTTTTAAAATTTTCTGAAAAGTTATCAAGTTAAATTGAAAATTTTACTTTTTATTGAAAATTATATTTCTAAGTTCAGTTTTAATGAATCATGTGTTGGCTATTTTTTCCATGACTGATATATGCATCTCAAGTTTCTAAAGGAAAACCCTATGACTCAATCAGAGAACGGCAAGTTATTTTTATGAAATATCAGTTCAGTTCAGTTTAGTTGCTTGGTCATGTCCTACTCTTGTGACCCATGGACTGCAGCACACCAGACTTCCCTGTCCTTCACCATCTCCTGGAATTTGCTTGGACTCATGTCCACTGAGTCAGTGATGCCATCCGATCATCTCATCCTCTGTCGTCCCCATCTCCTCCTGCCTTCTGTTTTTCTCAGCATCAGGGTCTTTTCTAATGAGTCAGCTCTTCGCATCAGGTGGTCACTGTTTTGGAACTTCAGCTTCAGCCATCAGTCCTTCCAATGAATATTCAGGACTGATTTCCTTTAGGATTGACTGGTTTGATAACCTCCTATCCCAGGGACTCTCTGGAATCTTCTCCAACACCAGATTTCAAAAGCATCAATTATTCGGTGGTGCTCAGCTTTCTTTATGGTCCAACTCTCACATCCACACATGAAATATAGTCTGTGTAATATTCTGTGAAGTTTAATTATGTTCCATGGATAAACACTGACTCAGCAGCAAAAGGCTATCTACTTGCCAAGAAACAATTTTCTTCTCAAACAGAGTAGCTGGTCAAAGTGCTCCCCATAAAAATGGTCACCATTGAAGTAATATGGTAGATACTGTTGACTGTCTGTAGAATAGCATTCTTCTTCCTTGCTGACAGAGAACAATTTCGTTTAACTGAGTGACAGCTGTGTACCTCAGAGAAGGATAAGCCCCTTGCCAGATCCAGACAACTAATCTTGATTTTTTCAAAGCCAAATCATAGTAAGTCTTTTGCTATTGCCCAGGGAATGGCTTAGGAAAGGATATGATTGAAATTTGGTCAACAGGAGAGAATGGAAATTCTCCTGGAGAGTTTGTGAAAAGTTCTCAGTCATTATAAAAGTACATAACATAGAAACATTCCATTCCATCCATTTCTGAGAAATACTGTTAAGCCTAGAGATTTTATAGCTATTTCAAGACCATGAGAGAGGAAGTCCAAGCACTAAGCCAATATGCTAAGTATTGCAGGACAGAGATGGAAAAAACCTGGGTCAGGAATGATACACTGAACCTTTGCAAAAAACAACACTTAAACCATCTTACTCAAAGATTCAATGTTCTGTGGGGCAACATATTTTTCTTAACTGCTTATGTAGTCATGAATTGGTTTTCTGTTACTTGAAGGTAAAAATGGAGAAGGAAATGGCAACCCACTCCAGTGTTCTTGCCTGGAGAATCCCAGGGACGGCGGAGCCGGGTGGGCTGCCGTCTATGGAGTCGCACAGAGTCGGACACGACTGAAGCGACTTAGCAGCAGCAGCAGCGGGTGAAAAAAATTCATGGTAAGCATCTTTCTTTAGGGCTTCCCTGACGGCTCAGCAGGTAAAGAATCCACTGTAATGCAGGAGACACTGGGGATGTGGGTTCAATCTCTGGGTTAGGAAGATACCTGGAGGAAGAAATGGCAACCCATTCCTGTATTCTTACCTGGAAAATTCTATGGACAGAGGACCCTAGCGGGCTACAGTCCACAGGGTCACAAAGGATCGGACTCAACTGAGTGATTGAACACACACATCTTTTTTAAAATTCAGCCATGCAAGTCAAAAGCACTGGCTGAGATTCTAGAAATTATGTCCATCCTGTCATCTCTGAAAAGATTAACTTCAAATATACAATGAAAAGAAGAAAAATTTAAATATTCTTACTTGAATGCCAGCTCCCTCTGGCACTGTGATCTTCCACACACAATTCAGATTGTTGTCATAAGGCTCAGGGTATCCAGGAGACAAAATAGTCCCTTTACGCTTAGTTAAAATTCCACCACAGGGCACTGAAAGTAAAGCAATCCATGAGAGGAAGTTAATTCTGATGCAAAGGATTAAAACAAGCGAAAAGGTCAGCAATAACATAGACAGATACTAGACTTGCAAACATAATCAAACCATATTATGCTTTAAAACTCAAAAGAACATGAAAATTGTCTTCCTATAGCACAAAAACTTCTTATAGCACAAAAAAAGGAATTAGACAACATTAAAGGATAACCTGGCAATAGCATATCTAAAGTCACTCTATAATTAACTCAATAATAGCATATTATTTGTATATTACTAAAATGTTCATTGACACAAGATAAAAATTGTTCATATGTACATAAAGAATTTTTGAAGAATTATTTTATATTTATTATTTTCTCTTCATTATCTTTTGAGTAGTAATAAAGTCCCTTTCAGAGTAATAGCAATGATGATTACAATTATGTTATGATTATAACATTTATATAGAGCCTACATACCAGTACTCTTCTAAACACTTTTACATATTTCACCTTATTAAAGCTTCCCAACAATCCAACAGTATATGAATAAGTATCCTCCTCATTTTACAGCTGAGGAAATGGAAGGACTAACAGTTTAAAAAAGTTTCTCAAGATCACATAGCTAATCAGAGATGAAGATGGAGTTTGAACACTGGTACTTTGGCTCCACATTCATGTTGTTCAGTGTAAAGAAAGTACTCAGTGTGGTGACAGTCTGGTTATTGCCAGTACAATTACTATAGGAAAGAATACAAATGGAGACTTGTTCTGAAGACAGTAAAGACTTTTACCACTTTTTAAAGGTACCGATCTTAAAGCAAAATTCTTACACTGCTGGTAATATCAGATTGACTCTGGGAATGACCAAACTTACAGTTTTAAATACTGTGTGATGTTGGACATGTCCTTGAATTCTCTGAAACTCAGATGCTTTGTTAAAAGATAATGCAATTGTTTCCAAGGGGCTTTTGTGGAAAGTAAATAGATATTATAATCTACATAAAGGGGCTTCTCTGGGGCCCAGTGGTAAAGAATCCATCTGCCAATGCAAGAGAAACAGGTTCAAAGCCTGGGTCAGGAAAAACCCCTGGAGAAGGAAATGGCAACTCACTCCAGTATTCTTGCCTGAGAAATCCTGTGGACAGAGGAGTCTCAAAAGATTCAGCTACGACTTAGCAACTAAACAATAACAATGCACATAAAGAAGCTTACACACTGCTTAAAACACAGTAAGAAGTCAACTATAACAACTATTGTTATTTTATGTTCTAATGGCACTATGATCCTTGGACATGTGTCTTAATCTGGCTTTAATGATGAAATATCAGAATATATTTTTGTAATAATTTTTAAAGGTAATTATATAACTTTGTGTCACTTCTAAAACTGAATGCAAAAAATCTAGGGTAATTACTCAAAAGAATGCTACAAACTTTTTTACATTTTCAAACTTTTAAATCAGTGTGATAAAGTATTTTTAAAGAAAATTTTAGCTCATTCTCCTTCTGATCCTTTCAATTCAAACGCTATCTCTCTGTGACCTACACCATCTTCTCATCTCTTTTTAACCACCGCTCTTCTGTAATGGCATCTATTACCATGTCATCTATGTACTATGACTCCAGTGTTAGTCGCTCAGTACTGTCTAACTCTTTGCAACCCCATGGACTGTAGTCTGCCAGGCTTCTCTGTCTGTGGGGATTCTCCAGGCAAGAAAACTGGAGTGGGTAGCCGTTTCCTTTTCCATGGGATCTTCTTGGCCCAGGGATCAAACCCAGGCCTCTGGCGTTGCATACTGTCTGAGGCACCAGGGAAGCCATATACTATGACTACTAAACATTTATCTCTAGCCATAACTTCTACCCAGGGTTCTACAATAATGTCAACTCAATATCTCAAAATTCACATGTCCAAATCAAGATTTTTTAAATTCTCCCTGATCTATACTATTTGCCCTCTCAATAAATGTTACCACCTAATTCTTAAGCCAAAAATCTAGAACTCAATTCATCTTTCTTTTCAAATTCACATGTACATCTATATTCAGCCTATCAGCAAACTATATCAATTCTATCTTAAAAATATATCCGAAAGTTTACCAGTTCTCACACTGATCATGATCTGCCAATCTAAATCAACATTAACTTTCTCCTCCACTTCTGCATTTGGCTTCTATTCAGTCTTATTGCTTCTATACCACCTCCATCCCTTACATTAGCCACAGTGATTTTCCAGAAACTGAGATTGTATCTTCTATAGCGCAGTGAATTTCTAGAAAAATTCTAACTCTTCCAACCTTTGAGGCTCCATATGACTTGGCCTCTGCTTTGTCTCTCCCAATTCTTCTATCATTCTTGCCATCATCCACTCTGTTCTTGACAGCTGAGATTACTGTTGTGGCTTGCTTACCTCTTTGACTTTCATATATCCCACCCTTCTTCATTCATCTCATTTGGATTTAAAACAGCAGCATGCTCTAGATGTCTTCCTCTAACCTCCAGCCTCTGCTTTCTTTTGCTCCATAGCATTTACCACTATCTGAAACAAAAGTAAACTCCCTAAGGGCAGAGACATTATCCTCTTATTCAAAGCTATGTGGCCAGTGCCTAGAATGGTGCCTGGCACTTTGTTGTTATTGTTCAGACGCTAAGTCGTGTCCGACTCTTTGCAACTCTGTGGACTGCAGCATGCTAGGCTTCCCTGTCCTTCACTATCTCCCGGAGTCTGCTCAAACTCATGCCTTTTTAGTCAATAATGCTATCCAATCATCTCATCCTCTTTGTCCTCTTCTCCTGCCTTCCATCTTTCCCAGGATGAGGATCTTTTCCAATGAGTTGACTCTTCACATTAGGTGAACAAAGTATTGGAGCTTCAGTCGTTCCAATGAATATTCAGGGTTGATTTCCTTTAGGATCCACTGGTTTGATCTCCTGGCTGTCCAAGGGACTCTCAAGAGTCTTCTCCAGCATCACAGTTTGGAAGCATCAGTGCTTTGGTGCACATTCTTTTTTATGATCTAACGCTCTCATCCATACATGACTACTGCAAAAACCATACCTCTGAGTATACGCACTTTGTCTCTGCTTTTTAATATGCTTTCTAGGTTTGTCATAGCTTTCCTTCCAAGGAGGAAGCATCTTCTAATTTCATGGCTGCAGTTACCATCCATGGTGATTTTGGAGTCCAAGAAAATAAAATCTGTGACTGTTTCCACATTTTTCCCAACTTTGAGTCATGAAGTGATGGGACCGAATGCCATGATTTTAGTTTTTTGAATGTTAAGTTTAAAGCCAGCTTTTTCACTCTCCTCTTTCCTCTCATCAGAAGACTCTTTAGCTCCTCTTCCCTTTCTGCCCCTCGGATGGTAGCTTCTGTATGTCTGGGGCTTCTTTGGCGGCTCAGACAGTAAAGAATCCACCTGCAGTGCAGGAGACTTGGGTTTGATCCCTGGGTTGGTAAGATCCCCTCGGGGAGGGCATGGCAACCCACTTCTGTATTCTTACCTGGAGAATCTCCATGGACAGAGAACCCTGGCAGGCTACGGTCCATAGGGTTGCACAGAGTTGGAATGCTTGAGGTTGCTAATAGTTCTCCGAGCAATCTTGATTCCAACTTGTGATTCATCTAACCCAGCATTTTGCATGATGTACTCTGCATATAAGCTAAATAAGCAGGGTGACAATATACAACCTTGATGTACTCCAATTTTGAACCAGTCAGCTATTCCATGCCTAGTTTTAACTGTTGCTTCTTGACCTGCATGTAGGTTTCTTAGGATACAAGTAAGGTGGTCTGGCATTCTCAACTCTTGAAGAATTGTCCATAGTTTGCTGTTATCCACAGTCAAAGATTTTAGTGTGGTCAAGGAAGCAGATATTTATCTGGAATTCTGTTGCTTTCTCTATGATCCAACGAATGTTAGCAATTTGATCTCTGGTTCTTTGCTCTTTTCTAAACTCAGCTTGTACATCTGGAAATTCTCAGTTCATGTGCTCCTGAAGCCTAGCTTGAAGGATTTTGAGTACTGTTTGCTAGCATGTGAAATGAGCGCAATTGCAGGGTAGTTGAGCACTCTTTGTCATTATCCTTCTTTGGGATTGGAATGAAAACTAACTTTTTCCAGTCCAGTGGTCATGCTGAGTTTTCCAAGTTTGGACATATTGAGTGCAGCACTTTAACAGCATCATCTTTTAAATATTTAAATAGGTTACCTGGAATTCTATCACCACTAGCTTTGTTTCTAGCAATGATTCCTAAGGCCCACTTGACACTCCAGGATGTCTGACTCTAGGTGAGTGACCACATTATCATGTTTACCCAGGTCATTAAGACCTTTTTTGTACAGTTCTTCTGTGTATTCTTGTTACCTCTTCTTAATCTCTTTTGCTTCTGTTAGGTCCTTATGGTTTCTTGCCCTTTATTGTACCCATCCTTTTATGAAATATTCCCTTGATATCTCCAATTTTATTGAAAAGATCTCTCTAATACTTGGTAAACTAAATAAATGCATGTTAAATAAATTACTGAGTGACTATCTGTATAAATCTTATGATTATGTAAAGTTACTTTTTTACCATTCCTGCATCATTCTTTTCTACTAGTACTTTTCTAAAGAAGCCATATCTAATTCTACTTCACTTGTTTTTATTTTTCCCAAGAAAGTACATTATAAGTGCATTCCCAGATGTGCATTAGCACATAATAATGTTTTACAAAGTTTTGTATCCTTTGTATATTACTTATCCTAGTATTTCTTTTCTATTTTAAAAATATTGTATATTTTTAATACCTTCTAATCAGTATGAGTCAATATAACATATAGATTAAGAAAACAGATTTTAGAATCAAGCAGCTTGGGTATAAATATTAATTCTTTTTTTTGTCTCTAAACATAGGGGTTTCACTATCTCTCTGTAAAAGAGAAAATATTCTTATCTGCCTCCTGGTGTTGGTGTCAATACTAAGTGAGATAATGCTTAATAGCACTTCATACAAATACTAGTTAATGCTAT